TTTGTTTCTCCGTCTTGTCCTGTATGTGTTCAATCACTCCTTGAGATGTTTTTGCCCAATTTGAAGTGACGGTTCCTGAGATAGAGGAGCCATTTTTAGTCTATGTTTGGGTGCTGGGTAGTGTTTTGAATCAAGATGGCAGACTGAAATGTTCCAAACTGCACTGATTCAGAACCCTCTGGAGATATGGTTGCCCAGTTTGGCATGACTGTAACCAGCAGTGAGGAGCTGCTTTGGGTCTCTATTTGGATCCGGTCAGATGCCATTTTGAATCCAGATGGCAGACCAAACCACGAAAAACTACCAATTCAGACACCTCTGGAGATTTCATTGCCCAATTAGGCATGAAAGTGCCATACTGTCACCCAGTTGTGATGGTTCCTGAGAGTGAGGAGTGGGTTTGGGTTTATGCCTGGATACCAACCAATGCCATTTTGAATATGGATGGCAGACTGGACTGTTCCAAATTACACTGATTTTGACACCTCTGAAAATAACGTTGCCCAGTTTTGCACGATGTTTCCTGAAATGGAGGTGTGGGCTTCTGTTGGGATACCAATAGAATCAAGGCGTTGGGCAGAACACTTCAAAACTGGATTTTTTGATTTTTTGATTTAAATGGAACATACAATACAACACGTAGCTTCAAGAGGAACTTTATATGGATAGTACTTATGATTCTGTAATGAACTGTTGGAATCAGGTGTCAGCAATCACACTGCATTTTATTCCATTTGCATCCTGAAATACTGTTGATAAGGATGCAGTAAATGTTGTTATAGTAGTCAATTTATATATGTAATACTTTATATTATGCCCATGTTAATTAGTGTTATTAATGTTTTCTCTTAATGTCCATTAAAACAAATTTTATGCAGCACACAAGCATTTAATGCTATTTATGTAGCTGCAGATTGGACCACGGAGACAGCAGTGAGAAAAAAGATTTCAACATTAATAGTTTTAATTTATTAATTTTAAAAGCAATAAGTCTCACTCATTTGGGGGAGGATGCAAATTCTGCATCTTGTTTAAGGTTATTTGAAGGATGTAGAAAACAGGAGCAGAAAACTCTGTTTTCCAATAGTTTTCTATATAACCACAAAACCATAGCCTGGGTGGCTTTTCTTCTTATTTGAAAGATAAGAACGGAGCTTTGAAATGGAGTTGCAGACTGGCTGCAAGATTCAGGAGAAATGTACAAATAGTACATTCACTTCTCCATTTGTAACATGCCCATTATTTTACGAGCCCGCACCCCAGGAAGTGGCTGTCTTGTCTTTCAATATTTGCACAATTTTAGGCGCTTTATACGTGTTAATAATAATATGTGAATCAGATGAAAGTCAATCTAATCTAGGGTTCTGTTTCCAACAGCGGTTACAATTTGCTGCAGACACCTTGTTAATACAGGCAGAGGTGCAATTAAATAATACTGTATTAGACTTTGCAGCTGCAGGGTGAATTTGCGCTACTTGTAGCTGTGGCTTTACCTGTCCCACATGGGACAACATGCAGCATCAGGTGATGGGCAGCGGGGCGGGGCTTGGCCAAAATGCCATGGTGGGCCAAATGGGGAGGCCTGGTGGGCCAGAGGTTCCCCACGGATGTGCTAATTGTTGTCTAAGGATCCCCAGATTTTCTACAATTCTGGCTGCGAGGGACAACAGATTTCTAGTAGCCAAACCCAAACACTTTCTTCCCTGCACCACTGTGCCAGCTCACCTAAAGAGGGAGTCATTGTTCTGCTGTTTGGTGCCACCAATATGTTGTTGTTGTTTAGTCGTTTAGTCGTGTCCGACTCTTCGTGACCCCCTGGACCAGAGCACGCCAGGCACTCCTGTCTTCCACTGCCTCCCGCAGTTTGGTCAAACTCATGCTGGTAGCTTCGAGAACACTGTCCAACCATCTCGTCCTCTGTCGTCCCCTTCTCCTTGTGCCCTCCATCTTTCCCAGCATCAGGGTCTTTTCCAGGGAGTCTTCTCTTCTCATGAGGTGGCCAAAGTATTGGAGCCTCAGCTTCAGGATCTGTCCTTCCAGTGAGCACTCAGGGCTGATTTCCTTAAGAATGGATAGGTTTGATCTTCTTGCAGTCCATGGGACTCTCAAGAGTCTCCTCCAGCACCATAATTCAAAAGCATCAATTCTTCGGCGATCAGCCTTCTTTATGGTCCAGCTTTCACTTCCATCACCACCAATATAGTTGGCCAGAAAAGGTACAGTTGCTTATTTAATAGTTTTATAAATTAATATGCTGAATTTCTTCAATCACGGAACTCAAGGCAACTTGCATGGTGTTTCCAAGGTGTTCTTGCCCTGAGCAGTCGCAGAAGGTGCTTAGCATCAGCAACGTGGTGGCATCCTGGGTCCTCAGACCATGAGCTGGGACCAAATGTTACATGGCACAAGCAGCCAATAGTGCAGAGGCAGCCAATGTGGTGCATTCTAGATATTTTGGACTACAACTCCCAGAAACCTCAGCCAATATAGTTGATAGTCGGGGTGATGGGAGCTGTATTTCACAACTTCTGGTGGGCACCATGTTTGCTCCCCCTGCAACAGGGCTTCACATAGTCCACAGATCTCCTGCCTCTCCATCCAGTACTTGTTGATTGTGAGACATTTTCCTCTGAATACAGAAGAGCTGTTGAGGTGAGGGACAAGGAAATTTCTCAGGAATTTCTCATTGCCAGCAGGCAATGACTTTATTTTATCAGTTCCAGCATTGCTTATACTCCTTGTTCCCGTACCCACAAAATCACTCCAAAATGTATTCAGAATGAAGGTGATTGTGCAGTCAAAATACATTATACTCCCCATCTCTCCCACACTGAAATCTGTGGGACTTAAAATGTGCTCAGCTCTGGCAGAACCCAGGCTCTGTAGAAGATTAAAAGGAAGTCCCTGCCTGCAGGCTTACAACCTAAATAACAGGCACTCCCACTACAAAGGTGGCACAGATAGAAAAGGAAATAAGTGAACCTGTCAAGCATTTTTACACACGAGTGGATTGGCAGCAGAAGTGGCCCCGGATTCCCATCAACACATTTGGGCCCCTCCAAGCATCCTTTTCATTGTCCATTCATGAAGATTGGGGCTCAGGGCTCACCATGATGGTCTCTTCTTCTTCTTCTTCTTCTTCTTCTTCTTCTTCTTCTTCTTCTTCTTCTATCACTCATAGTCAAGTAAGATTGTCTTCCATAAACACAGTTTTAACAATGAGTCTGTAAATGACTGTGGAGGCCAATTCTGGATCCGCACGTCCTTCCACAGTGGGGACATTGGTTTCTGGGCAGGAGTTGATCACGGTGAGGGTTTGCCAAGCGTGCTTTCCTCTTAGCATGTTTCTCCCTTGCGTCCTGAGTTCAAGTGTCTTCAAAGCCCATGACACCTTTGGTAAAGGCTGTTCTCCAACTGGAGCGCTCACAAGCAAGTGTTTCCCAATTGTTGGTGTTTATACTACATTTTTAAAAATTTGCCTTGAGACAGTCTTTAAACCTCTTTTGTTGACCACCAGCATTACGCTTTCCAATTTTAAGTTCGGCATAGAGTAGTTGCTTTGGAAGACGATAATCAGGCATCCGCACAACATGACCAGTCCAACAAAGTTGATGTTGAAGAATCATTGTTTCGGACAGTCCAGGATTTACAGAAGCCATCACAGCTTCTCATTTTATCCCAGAATGTCCCACTTTTCCTTTGGACATCTCTATTTTCATTGGAGAAATATTGGAAGGTATGGAGTTATGCGACCCCTGAGCCAAAGAGACATGTAACTATGCAACCTTTAGAAGACCTCTGAAGGCGGCCCGGTACAGTCGTACCTTGGTTATCGAATGCCTTGTTACTCAAACGTTTTGGCTCCCGACAGTGTTCCGGTTTGTGAACGTTTTTTGGAAGCCTAACATCCGACGTGGCTTCCGTGGCTTCCGAATGAGTGCAGGAAGCTCCTGCAGCCAATCGGAAGCAGTGCCTTGATTTTCGAACCATTTCAGGAGTCGAACAGACTCCTGGAACAGATTAAGTTTGACAACCAAGGTACGACTGTATAGGGAAGTTTTTGTTTTTCCACATTGTTGTTTTGTTTATTTGTTATTCTGTGTGTGTTTTCTCCTGCTTTTGTTGTGCTACAGCACAAATGTACCCCTCCAGCTAGTATGAATGTGCTGATAATCTTGGCAAAGCATTGTAGAACAACAAATAAAGCAGAACGTTGTATGGGCAGTCTAATACAAATCCACCACTATTGCACTATCCACAACATCTTGCAGAATATGCCTGCAACTCTCCACCCCCACTTCAGCCTGCCCCAGTCTAAAGGGAGCCATAATCATCTCTGAAAACCTCGCACAGAAAAGGAGGGGTGGAGGGCAGCAGTTGGCTTGTGGACATAAAGCTGAAATAATTATTCTTAGCGTGAAATATCTGCATTAGACAAGCAAAGAAGAGGTTGGCCGTAATTTGATGTTGGCATTACCTAATATCACCCCTAGCTAAAGAGAAGTTAAGAGGCGAGAAATAGGAAAAAGCAAAGATCAGAGAAAAGGAGGAAAGAGTGAAATTACAGAGGAGTCATAAATAACAGAGAATTCATCTCTAGTTAATAGCCATTTCAGAAATGACCCATTATCCTCTGGAGTATCTGTGGTGCAGTAAATTTGCACAGCCAAAGTGGCCTCTATATATGAGGGATTATATTCTATTATTTAATTTAAATTTACACATCATTAAATCCCCCTGAATAAAGCCATAATTTTCATAATAACAGAAGTTATGAAGAGAAAAGAATGATTAGCTCCTGCATGTCTTTAAAGAAAGAATTTCATAAAAGAGGTATGACTGATAACAAATCACACTTTGATTTTCAGGAACTGTATCCACTGAGGGGCTTTTGGGGTACAGCTTCCTCAGAGGTTTTACAGGACCTTTCCCCTCATATTTCTTTTTTAAAGCATTATTATTATTATTTTTAAAAAAGAAAGTCTGCTTTCCCGTGTGCTGGATGTGAGGGCGATCTGGCTGCGACATCTGTCACCCCATTGATCGCCAGGGTTGATTCGGCTGATCTGGCTGGCTAGGCGGGTGTCCCCTTCCTCCCTCACCGCTCCATGTGCGTCCCTCCCGAAGCTGCGCGCTCGGTGGAAGAGGACGACCATCCCAGATAGAAGGAGTGTACCGTTCTTCGGTCAAAGGTATACGATAGCTGCGCTCCCATGCTAGAACCTCCAAACAAGCTCAAGGCCAGATAATAATAATAATAACAACAAACAAACAAACAAACACTGCAGCAAAATCCTTTACTTAGATTTCAACAACTGTTTGGGGTGTGCGTGTCTGTGAATGGACACTGTTAATAACATAATTTTTACCATTTGTTCTTTTCTGCATTTCATTTCCTTCTGACCCTACTATTTGCAATGCTACTCTATCCCACCCCCCTCCACAAACACAGACAACCATGTCTTCTCTTTGGCGATCACTCGTAGCTGAGTAAATTGTATTCCATAAACACGGTCTTAATGGTGTGTCCACAAGTGGCTGTGTGAAGGCCAACTCTGGATCGACACGGCCCTCCACAGTAGGGATTTAGGTTTCAAGGCAGGAGTCGATCACATGCCACTTGAGGGAACACTTCATGCATCTGTTGAATTAAACTGTAGTCCATGAAAGATTGTGACACAGACGTGTACGTTCAACTGCTGAAATATACACCCAATATGTAGCAATGGAGATTTATGTTACTGCTTTATGAATGAACACTGTGTTTTATGAATGGACTCTGTATTTTGTGAATAACCTAAGAGCCACCAATAGGGAGCTCTAGAATCTGACAGCTAACCAATTGGGTACTACCAAACAGCGACCCCTATTGCTGAAAGCAGGTAACCAGGAGGGAATGCTTCAGCTCAGCCTTTGCACTGTTGACTGAACACCCCCTGCTGTGCAGATAATGGAGAAAGCTCATAAATTGTATCCCTTCTGGCATCCTGGCCAACTCTATTACGCTGGTGTAAACCCTGGTGCACCAGAAGCCCAGAATAGCAGCAAATAAAATCTACTCATACGTTAGCAACTGATAAGACTTGTCAACCAGTTCTTCCAAAGTCTTCCTAAATTATAAAGCTCCAAAGTACAGGCCAGAAGAGAACAGGTCTGGGAAGAGTGAGGCATAAAATGGGCACCACCAGTGAAAAGGCCCTGCTCTGTGTAACTCCTGCCCTGTCATTTGATAGGGTGCCCACTTGCCCTCCTTCTTGGTTAATTGGTTTGGCAACTTCCATGCACATGACGTGCGATGCTAATTATTTCCCCCAAGAGTTGAATGAGATTCAGGTGAGGATCAGATGCCTTGTCAACCCCAGCAGGTATATAAGAGGACGACGCGGCGGTTTTCAGTGTTAATTTTATGCATTTTTTAAAATCACCATGGTATTTAACAATAATATCTTATGTCCTTTAGAGAAGAAATTGTGAAATGCAGAATTTTAAATACCCGTCATCCTCCTTGGCTTCACTCAATTTTGTTTATAACGCTCTTCCATTTTCTTTTAGTTGTGAGTATGGGGGAGGGGCCTCACAAGTGGAGTAGCCTAGGGCCTCTCTTCATCTAAATCTGGAGGAGTGGGGAGTCCCATGTGCACCACTTTGAGCTCCCAGGAGGAAAAGGTGGGATATAAATGCACTCAATAAGCAAATAAATAATTTTCAGACTCATACAGCTACTTGGAGTTGGCCCTAGTTTTAGATCTTTAGTAGGACTGAGGATAAATGGTTGCTGCTTGCCTACAATCAACACCTAGTGAGTTTGTGGCAAGGGCGACATTTGAACTCACAACTTGATGCTCTGAGTTGAAGCAGGTCTTCAACGTGACATCATCATATGAATCAACATTTATAGACCGCATTTTGAGTCTTTGGAGCATTTACCTCCACAATCTCAGTAATACCTGAGTGTGGTATTATTGCCCCGTTACTGGAGATGTGGAGGCAAGGCTGGTGCAAGGAAGACAACTGAGGGAAGGGGTGGCACAGGCCCCATTTGAACCCTTAAGCCATGGACATACAGTAAATACTTTCCCCCATCACATTACACTAACTCTCAGTGGTTGCAATGCTGACCTTTGATGAATCCTGCCCTTTGTAATGCATTTGCTCCATCTAAATACTAGCAATTTACTGAAGTAATTGCTCTGATGAGTTTTTAAATTGTTTTTAATATAATTTTTTACTAATTATATTGTGTGTGTTTCCTTAGCAGGCTGGAACTGGCATTTCAGTTGAGGGCTCGGAACGCTCTTCAGATTGCTAGTGAATGGAAAGAATTTGTGGAAATTAAATATCCATCTAAAATTGTGAAGATGGGGCATTATTCACAAACTCTCATTATTGCCTATGACAATTTGTCCTAGAATTAGAGCAGAGAAGAAGCAGAATTGGAGCAAAAGACATTGTATTGATATTTTGAATCTTCTGTTTTCCCATCTACTCCTCACTCAGAGGTTTAATTGCTCCCTGAACTCTAAATCCAATCCTCATGGTGATTAAAGATTTATGCAAGATAATTCAATATATAGAGTAACAAAATATGTTTTATTTTCACATCCAGTTGTTAATAATTTAGTACCAGATCCTCGGCTGGTGTGAATTATTGATGTCAATAGAGCTACACTGATTCACACCAGCAGATTAACTAGTTGTTAATGCTGTAATATCAGTACACACACACACACACACACACACACCCCTACCTACTCAAACAGAGGTGCTATATAAATCCATATTGATGTGAGATCTTTGTTGTTGTTTAGTCGTTTAGTCGTGTCCGACTCTTCGTGACCCCATGGACCAGAGCATGACAGGCACTCCAGATCTAGCCCTACAATTATTTCCAATATGGAGTGTTTGTGGTAAGGATTTCAAGGTCACAGATTGAGACATCAGGTTTAGGATGGATTGGACATTTGGCAAAGGAGTCACTTCCAAGATATAAAGCCTAATTCATCTACCCCACTGGTCTTAATCCACAGAGTCTGCCGTTCTCAGGATCTGACCCTTTCAAGGGTTCAGCCTCCTTCTCAGATTCTCCAGGAGATGAAGTAAAATCTCAAGGCATGGATCCAGAATCAAATAAGCAGACTACATTCTAGATGCTTTGAGAGCATTTCCTATTGCCTGTTAAGTTCCCCTACAACAGTCACAGTCAGGTCCCCTCTTCCCCAGTCTACTGGGTGCTGTCCCAGCCTGCTGCCAGTCCCTACTGGGCTCCACCAGTGCCCACCTACAAACCTCCACCATCGATCTCCTGTCTGAGTCTCAGGAGACCTAGCATTCCTATATCATGATCCCAAAATTTGTTCTTGCCATTCTTTATCTAGAAAATATACATTGTGCAATGTACTGTACAGCACTGGAGGAAAACGGGAAGAGGAAATGGTGGTGAAGACCAGGACCGACCAAGATGAGAAAGTCTGACATTTGCATCAGGGCCTGAAATGCCCAACCATATTTTAGATGGTTAATCTTTTTTAGTAGCTGATGAGTGCCATTCTAACATATTTAAAATACTTTTTTCCCTCTGCCGCCTGCTAAGTAATGGTTATATTTTCCAATGTGGGTCAAATTTAACTTCCCTTCCACTGACACCAAATGCTAGTTGTAGAGGTTCAGATAAATAGAGCCCAATTCACACAGTGCCACCTACTCTCCTCTCTTCTCCCTGTGTGCCCCAGGATTTGTTCTGGAGGGTCCCCTAACACCCTTGAGCAGATTTTGAGGGGGCATGGAGGGGGCACGGGGGAGAGGAGAGGGAAAGCCCTGTTGCACAAGTAGACATTTGTTGTGTGAGCAGAACAACAGCATTGGATACAACCAGTGCTTTTTTCTGGGGGGGAAATGGTGGGAGAACTCACCTCGAAGTTTGTTTGTTTGCTTACTTGCTTGCTTGTAGCGGCCTACACTGGGCAGTGGCTAAATGTAAGATGTGATTATTAAACTCAAGCAGACAACGATCTCGATTGGAAATGGCCACAACTTTATTAATTACAGATATGGCTGAATTTTTGGCTCAGGCATTGGATTCCAGCCCCCCAGACAACAACAACAAATTTAAAATGGTGAGAGAACTCAGCTCCCCCGAGTTCTTGCTCAAAAAAATCCCCTGGATACCACAGTAATGATATATTTTAGCCATGCCAGTGTAAACCCTAGTTTTGCTATGTAGTAGAACATTCTAGAACTCCATAGGGAGCTGCTCAAACCAACGCTTGCCACATAGAAGAGTTGTGTGAGCCAGCTCACAGTCTCCAGAGGTCTTTGGACTGTGTTATGGGGGGGTTGTACTGACAAGCTTTGTGAAATCCTCTCCACCCAGTGGGTGGAGACAGATGATAATGGTTGTCTTAAGGCAGATGTTCTCACTTTAGGGAATTCCAGAAGAACTCGCCACTAATCACGGACCCCATTTTCATTCAGAAGTAAAGGCTGCCCGGGGAGTTACGAATAAGAGGGGGCAGGATTTAAAGCCACCAAGCTGCCAATAAACAGATGTGTTATCGTACATTGATAATGATCCAGCCCTGGAGGGCACACTCACAAAATGTGCAAGTGATATGATCAGATTGGATAAGCTGCAAATGTTTCAAACATTTTTCATAATGTTCTGCAAGCACGGCTGCTAGATTGTTACCCAGAGACACAGTGCCTATAGTTTTCAGTACCACATCTGGTGTGCATTCCTGCCCCGCTCCTTCACTGGTCCCCCTCCATTCTCACCCAGTGCTGTGGTGTGGGGCTGGAATGAGAGCTCTGCTAGCTGTTGCCAGAGGGCTGGTGTAGAAGGCAGGGAGGGAAGGGGTTAGTGGAGGAACAGAGTGAGAAGCCCTCCAATAAATGAGTTAGAGGATCGAGGCGGGTCGGGGCTGCTGATTCTTCTAGACCTGTCAGCAGCCTTCGACATGGTCAATCACGAACTCCTGGACCACCGCCTTGCCGACATGGGGATCCAGGGCACAGTCCTTCAATGGCTGCGCTCGTTTCTCACCCAACTGTTGATGGATGGCCATCCTGACTCGGCCCCAGACACACTGACCAGATGTCTGGAAGCTGTGGCTGGATGGTTACGTGGGAGCCGGTTGAAGTTAAATCCTTTGAAGACAGAGGTCCTCTGGCTGGGACGGGGCGATATGGGATTGAGGGGGCAACTCCCATCTCTTGCGGGGGTGCAATTAGTGCCAGCATCGTCCGTTAAGAGTTTGGGTGTAATCTTCGATACCTCCCTCTCCATGGAGGCGCAGATTACAGCTATAACAAAGGCGGCATTTTTTCATCTCCGCCAGGCTAAGCAGTTGGCTCCTTATCTCTCTCGCCCTGACCTAGCCACTGTGATCCACGCGATGGTCACCTCCAGACTGGATTATTGTAACTCGCTCTACGTGGGGCTGCCCTTGAGACTGACCCAGAAACTCCAGCGGGTGCAGAATGCCGCGGCGAGACTCCTTATGGGGTCTTCGCTGCAAGATCATATTCATCTGGTACTATACCAGCTGCACTGGCTCCCGGTGGAGTACAGGATCAGGTTTAAGGTGCTGGTTTTAACCTTTAAAGCCCTATACAGCCTAGGACCCTCGTACCTACGGGACCGCCTCTCCTGGTATGTCCCACAGAGAAATTTACGGTCTGCAAATAAAAACATCCTGAAGATCCCAGGCCACAGAGAGGTTAGGCTGGCCTCAACTAGAGCCAGGGCTTTCTCGGCCGCGGCTCCAATCTGGTGGAACGCTCTGTCACAAGAGACTAGGGCCCTGCGGGACCTGACAGCTTTCCGCAGGGCCTGCAAGACAGAGTTGTTCCACCAGGCCTTTGGTCAGGGCGCAGCCTGACCCCCTCCTCTGGCAATCTGCACAGAATTTTGCTTAATGGTTGCCATCAATTTGATTTTAATTAATTTTATAATGAATGTTTTTAGAATGCTGGATTATTTTGATTGTTGTTAGCCGCCCTGAGCCCAGCTTCGGCTGGGGAGGGCGGGATATAAATAAATTATTATTATTATTATTATTATTATTATTATTATTATTATTAGAGAAGAGCTTTCCAAGCTGTGTGCCGCTGCATGTTAGTGTGTCAGTTGCTATGTGTAGGTGTATCGCATGATATGTGTCCGTATCTTTTATAAGGAGGTAGTTCAACCTCCAGGACGTGGGTGCTGCTGTGGGTTAAACCACAAAGCCTAGGACTTGCCGATCAGAAGGTCGGTGGTTCAAATCCCCGCGATGGGGTGAGCTCCCGTTGCTCGGTCCCTGCTCCTGCCAACCTAGCAGTTGGAAAGCACCTCAAAGTGCAAGTAGATAAATAGGTACCGCTCCGGCGGGAAGGTAAACGGCATTTCCATGCGCTGCTCTGGTTCGCCAGAAGCGGCTTAGTCATGCTGGCCACATGACCCGGAAGCTGTACGCCGGCTCCCTCGGCCAATAAAGCGAGATGAGCGCCGCAACCCCAGAGTTGGTCACGACTGGACCTAATGGTCAGGGGTCCCTTTACCTTTACCTTTTAGTTCAACCTCCAGTTTGCTAGTAAAACTGAATTACAGTGGTACTTTGGTTCTCAAACTTAATCTGTTCCGGAAGCCTGTTCCAAAACCAAAGCGTTCCCATAGAAAGTAATGCAAAATGGATTAATCCATTCCAGGCTTTTAAAAACAACCCCTAAAACAGCAATTTAACATGAATTTTACTATCTAACGAGACCATTAATCCATAAAATGAAAGCAATAATCAATGTACTGTACTATGAAATAAATAAGACAGTATTGTAGATGATAAAAATTAAATTTTTTATTTTTTTCTTACCTGCACTGATGATAGTCATTGTTTGGATGAGGGGCTTTTATCCATTTCCGCAATCACACAGTCAATCAATCAGTAGCTGAACTGGGTTCCACACAGTCACAAAAACAAATTAACCGAAAAATCCTCAAAAGCAAAAATGCAAAATAAATAGCAATAACAAAAGCACCAAACTTAATCTGTTCCAGAAGCCCATTTGACTTCTGAAATGTTTGAAAACCAAGGTGCAGCTTCTGATTGGTGCAGGTGCCCTGGAAACAATAGCAGACAGCCGCATTGGACGTCCGGCTTCTGAAAAACATTTGAAAACTGGAACACTTACTTCTGGGCTTTCAGCATTTGAGAACCAAGGTACCACTGTACTGTGTTGTGAAATGATATATGTCTAAAAAGTGTGTCCTCAACAGGAAAAGTTTGGAAAGCTCTGAGGTAGAGGAAACTCAGTTATGCATGTGATTTAAAAAGTGGAAACTTTCTCTCTGTGTGTATCAAATTGTAAGCCAACAGCATAACAATAGCTTTCTATATCTTTATTTTTTATTTGCAATGGCCGTATCCTTAATGAAAATTATGCGGTTAAAACTATTGTGAAGAAGCTTTTCCCACGTTCAAAGTGAATTAAGGCACAGCATTGCCGAGTCCAGATTTTGTTAAAGCATTCGTTTTAAAAGTTGATCTGCTTATTTTGTTTTCTGCTTCTTTTAGAATATTGTGTCTTCTAAAAATTCCTTCTCCGAAAGGGCAAAGTGAACAACACAAAGAGGTGCTCCATTTTGCCTGAATGCATACAAAGGTGTTACCCGCCTTTGTTATCAGGAATCAAAGGGAGACCCTTGCCAATTTGCACCTCTCTATCCCTGGTGCCCACCAATGACAAGTGCTAACTACCCATCTCCAAAGGATACAGGCAGTGTGCTGGAATTCCCCACCCCCAACATCCCTTTTAATTGGATGACTGCCCTTCGTAAATATAGTGCCATTGGAATATGTCAGTTGTTCCCATTTTAACCAAAGGAAACCTTTATGTTCTATTCCACCTTGAACAGGTTTGTCTGTTTGCGTGACTAGAAGAAGATGCTCTGGTTGTAAGTTTCTAAACTTAGGAACTGCGTTAGCATAAGAACTACCTAAGAAACAGTGTTGCTTGCTTTTTAAAAGCAGTTTCTTATTTCACCTTCTCTGCCACTGAGCTCATATAAATCACTTCTTTGGATGAGTTGACAAAAGATGGTGTTCAACGAAGTTTTGCTCAGGGTTAACCCACTGGAATTAATGGACTTGATTTAGACCTGTTCATTAATTTCAGTGGGCAGGGTTTGCCTAAGGAGACCCATCAGGAGAAACCCTGTGCAAGGACATCTGCTTGCTCAGTGGGGTCCCTCTGTCCGCTCTCCACCCCTCAAAATTAGTTGTGTGTGGGCCAGGAGAACCCCAAGAACAAAACATGGGGAGGAAGAGGAGATTGCTCTACTGGCGCCTCGTCTGATTGCTGAATATGATCAGAATATTTTTTTTTTTTTAAAGTAAGAAGGCGCAAAGGCTTCTGCGTGTGCACTTTATTATGCATGCAGAATCCCAAAATCAATAGCTGGCAAAGGTAAATTGTCAGGTTGGAAAGGCATCTGAAGGCACGGGGGGGGGGGTTAATAAGATTTGTGTACACAGTGTTTCTCCTCTGAAATTTCAAGCCTCAAACAGGAGTACACATGAACAACTGCAACCTGTAATGAGGTGGGAAATATAGCAGTCCTATGATTCTTGAAGGAGACCTTGGGATGAATAGGAAAGTTACCATTAACTTGTGTTAATGGTACCTGCTCTGGTAATCTCTCTTGGACTGCTGCAATGCACTCTACGTGGGGCTACCTTTGAAGGTGACTCAGAAACTACAACTTATCCAGAATGTGGCAGCTAGACTGGTGACTGGGAGTGGCCGCCAGGACCATATCACACCAGTCCTAAAGGATCTTTACTAGCTCCCAGTATGTTTCTAAGCACAATTCAAAGTGCTGGTGCTGACCTTGAAAGCCCTAAACGACCTCGGCCCAGTATACCTGAGGGAGAGTCTCCACCCCTATTGCTCAGCCCGGACATTGAGGGTCCACTTCCAAGGGTCTTCTGGCAGTTCCCTCACTGCAAGAAGTGAAGCTACAGGGAACCAGGCAGAGGGCCTTCTTGGTAGTGGCACCCTCCCTGTGGAACGCCCTCCCATCAGATGACAAGGAAATGAAGAACTACTCAACTTTTAGAAGACATCTGTAGGCAGCCCTGTATTGAGAAGTTTTTAATGTTTGATGTTTTATTATGTTTTTATATATTCTGGAAGCCACATAGATTGGCTGGGGAAACCCAGCCAGATGGGTGGGGTATAAAAAATAAAATAAGTTTAGTGCTACTTCAGTGTTATTCACAACAGTAATACAGTCATAGCTCAGAAAGCTCACCGTCTCTTACAGCAAGACAAAGCAGGTCTTGTGGTTGGTGGCTTGCAGGCAGGCAAGTAGGGTTGTTGTTGTTGAATGATAGCTTTTCTACAAGGGATTCTCAGAGCCATCATTACATAGTTCACAGCGACCTTTGGAGCAATCAGTGGTTTTCAAACGATTGTTTTGGGAATACTGGGATTCCTTGGAAACTGAACCTGGCCCTTGATGAGATCAGTGAGCAAGATTCTCTGAAACACAGCTGGTTCCCCATTGCTGAACTCCCCTGTATTTTGCAACCCCACTAGAGTATTAGCTCATGATGCTGTGGAAACGCATTTCTTGCTTGGAAATCATTCTTGCTTGGAAGCCTCGCTTGGATTCAGACTCTTAGTTGCTCGGTAAAAACGTAGCCCTGGATCCAAGTGGGTGGCATGGATCCAGACCTTCCTAGTCGTCCTCACTTCTGGGTGACTTCACAGGAACTGAAAATACAAACAAGGGAGAAAGGCATGGGCGTAGCCAGGGGGCAGGGGGATCTGCTCCCCCAATCAAGTAAACAAATTAAAATACTTAAGAAATTGATCAGTTGTGTCGCAGATAACTTGCTTCTTCCTCCCCCTAACATAAAGCCTGCCCACGCCCTGAAAAAATCCTGGCTACACCCATGGAGAAAAGGTCAGTTCACACGGCATTCACAGGTTGTGTACACACTATACCTTTAAAGCATGTTTAAAGAACAATCTTGCCCTCAAAGAATTCTGGGCACTGTGGTTTATCCCTCACAGAGCTACCATTCGCAGCATCCCTGAACAAACTACAGTGCCCAGAATTCTTTGAGGCGGGAAATGTGTTTGGACTGTGCTATAAAGCTATAGTGTGCCAGCAGCTAGAGCAGAGCTGGGTTCATTCACTGTTTGGGGCTACCTAACATGACAATGCAGGACTTGATACCTTTAATATACAATATTAAAAAACCGAAGCCCCTTTTTGAAATGAGAGGGCTGCACTTTTCAGCTCTATGGAGTCTGCCCCCCCCCCCGAGCTGCAGAGATGGTGGGAAACTGTGACATTAATGTACAGTCTTGGAACAGCATCACTCTTACAGCAAGTCAGGCAATGCACTTTGAAGTCCTCACTGAGTATACAACTGGGAAGTCACCTGGCGAGGGATTTATTCAGGAATTCGGTATCTATATTATCGCAGGATGACTATCTGTCGTGAATAAGCTTTTGTTTGGGCAGGAGAGGGTTGACAGAGTCAGAAGGACTAAACCTCATTCAGTCGTGGCCAAGCTGCAAGCCACATCTCTTGCAGGAGGGAAACTGCAGCTAAATAGCCTCAAATCGCTAAGAAAGAGCAAGGGACACCTTTGAGGGACATGATTTGGCCACCCTGGACTCAAGGGCCAAATGGGGAGGTCTGGTGAGCCTAATATAGCTCACAGGTCACACATCCCCCAGCGCCAGTGCCAGATTTATGTATAGGTTAAGTAGGCTGAAGCCTAGGGCCTCTAAATCTAAGGGGCCTCACCAGCCTTCCCGCGCCCCAGCAGGCAGTCTCCCCTCTCCCAAAACTGCAAACCCTATACTTCATGCGAGGGCAGGGCAATTCGGGCCCAGCAACTATGAGACTCAGGGCTAGCCAGTGGGGCCCAATTTGAAGCACTGGGGCGCAACTTGAATTTTTTTTCTTTTGTAGGGCCCCAGTTCACAGCCAAAGTCTGCAAAATCTTATGGATATAAATAAAATCCATCTAGATTGCCCTGGTGCAGCGGCCTGCATAGGAGCGGCCCACGGGGCCCAATTTGGCCCAATTGCTCCAATTGCCTTAAGGTCAGCCCTGATGAGACTGTGCAGGGGTTGGATTGACAAGTCCTGCACCTTCTAGGTCCCTGGTGTCACCATTCAGAGTACAAGCTCAAGGACTTGTTGTGGAAATAAGGGGGGGCACTTATTGGATATCAGTTTTGTCACCTCTTCCCCCCCCCAAACCCCGAGACAATGAGCCCAGCCACCTTTTATTCACAGTTGCATAAGCACCAAACTACAGCATGGCCATAAACTTGTACGTTCAACTGCTGAAATATACACCCAACATGTAGCAATGGAGATTTATATTACTGCTCTATGAATGAACACTGTGTTTTATGAATGGACTCTGTATTTTGTGAACTACCTAAGAGCCACCAATAGGGAGCTCTAGAATCTGACAGCTAACCAATTGGGTACTACCAAACAGCGACCCCTATTGCTGAAAGCAGGTAACCAGCAGGAAATGCTTCAGCTCAGCCTTTGCGCTGTTGACTGAACACTCCCTGCTGTGCAGATAATGGAGAAAGCTCGTAACTTGTATCCCTTCTGGCATCCTGGCCAACTCTATTATGCTGGTGTAAACCCTGGTGCATCAGAAGCCCAGAATAGCAGCAAATAAAATCCGCTCATACGTCATCAACTGATAAGACTTGTCAACCAGTTCTTACAAAGTTTTCCTAAATTATAAAGCTCCAAAATGCAGGCCAAAAGAGAGCAGGTCTGGGAAGAGCAAAGCATACAATGGGCACTACCCGTGAAAAGGCCCTGCTCTGTGTAACTCCTGCCCTGTCATTTGATAGGGTGCCCACTTGCCCTTCTTGACATGGAATACTCTCTATTGGAGTCTCCAGGTCCAGTACAAAGACCATAAGAAGGGAGAGCAGGGACCTTTACGTTCCCAACAGCTGTTAATCAAGCAAGCAAGCCCACAGGTCACCTTTGTCAGAGTCAGGACGCCTACGTCCTGGTCAGACCTGCACCCAACCTTGTTTTTGTACAATCTTGTTTGTCCTCAGTAACCAATATTATATTATCAACCTATACAAGCAGAAAAGTTGTTTTCCTTCATTTGCAAGGAATCATACAAAGGAAAAAGGCACTAATAAAGAAAAGTTCTAGGGTGGCAACAGAAAGCAAACTAAAAATGCTTTTGCAGTTCATCAAAACTATCCAGCAATAGCAAGTTATAGGAAAACTGGTGATATTAACAGTAATCCTTCTACTTGGTTAATTGGTTCGGCAACTTCCATGCACATGACATGTGATGCTAATTATTTCCCCCAAGAGTTAAATGATAACTAATCAGAGGCAGCTACAGGAGAGCTATCAGATTCAGGTGAGGGTGAGATGCCTTGTCAATCCCAGCAGGTATATAAGAGGACAACCCAACCTGTCAAGGCCTGCAGTCTGCCCAGCTTCCATTGGGTCCAAAGTTTAACTTCAGAGGATGCTGAGCCATGGTTAAATGCCATGAAGGCTGAACTTGATTCCTTAGAGAGGAACAAGGCATGGGAACTAGTTCCTGGCCTGCCGAGGCCACAAAGTCACAAAAACAAACAAAAAAGAGCTGTAAAAACAAAAACGCAAAATAGAAAGGAAAAACAGACAAACCTCAGCGTAACACTCAAAACGGAAGTGTGGCACTCAAAACGGAGCATGTTCAGCTTCCAAAAAAAAGTTAGCAAACCGGAACACTTACTTCCGGGTTTGCAGTGTTTGGGTTCCAAGTTGTTTGAGTACCAAGGCATTTGAGAACCAAGGGTACAACTGTATATTTTATCTTCAGGGGGTTTTCCCGTAGGTATGGGGATAACCATGTTTCTTTGTGGGCCCTCTGTACTGGATGAAATGCACATTGAATTATGACACAGAGTTCAATACAACATTCTGTATTCCCACAGCACACACACACACACACACACATTGATTTTTTTTCAAAGGGGGAGAGGACAGGTCTTTTCCACATTCCTCCTAGCAAATCCCAGAGAACTATTTCAGTGTTAGTTTCTTTTAGGATTGTGGGGAGAGGCAAATGTTTGATGCATATTAGCCTTTGTTTGTTTGTTTGTTTGTTGAATTGATATACCGCCCTATACCCACAGGTCTCAGGGCGGTTCACAGGATAAAATCAGAATACAAAACCATGAAATACATAATCAAAAGCAACAATATTTAGCATTAACAAGTGAATACAGCCTTGTAGCATTGCATAGTGTCATTTTGATGGGAAAGTCACGTGCAGATGATCCCCACCACTTACTAAATTGTTTATTGGGACTGTTGATCAATTCAGGAATATTGAGTTGATCAAGCAGATCTGTCTTTTAACCTGGAAATAAATCTGCCTCTTATAAAAAACTTCAATACAAGTGCCTTTTGAAGCTACTGAAGACAGCTTGCAATTTAATAAACACTGACATTCATTTGGGGAGGAATAGCCACCTCATTTCTCTCTCCTCCTCCCCTTTAAAAAATTCCTTATTACAGTTAATCAGCCTCAAAAAATAGACAAACAATCCACTAAGTTAAACTGTTCTGTAGTCAAAAAATGCCCTCACCTGCTAAAATTTGTTTTAGATTATTAATATACTGAATGCATGAAGTTCTATTTATTTACCACACTTCATAGAATCAAAGCGTTGGAAGGGACCTTGGAGGTCTTGACCTCAAATAAGATATTGTAGAGCTGGAAAAGGTTCAGAAAAGGGCAACCAGAAATGATCAAGGGAATGGAGCGACTGCTCTGAGGAAAGGTTGCAGCAGTTGGGGCTTTCTAGTTTACAGAAAAGGTGAGTAATAGGTGACAAAACAGAAGGCTATAAAACTATGAATACTGCATACAACACTAATGTCTCACAACAAATGTAACTGATCTGTAGAAAACACAACCTGAAAAAAAGAGAAAATGCACGTACAGTGGTACCTTGGGTTACAAACCCTTTGGGTTACAAACGCTTTGGGTTACAAACTCCGCTAATCCGGAAGTAGTTGCTCCAGGTTGCGAACTTTGTCCCAGGATGAGAACGGACATCGCACGCCGTCAGCGGGAGGCAGCGGGAGGCCCCATTAGCGAAAGTGCGCCTCAGGTTAAGAACGGTTTCAAGTTAAGAAGAGAGCTCCGGAACAAATTAAGTTCATAACCCGAGGTACCACTGTACTTTTATTTTTATTTTTACAAAAGTGAATAGAGAAAAGGCTTCCTCCCTCCAGCAGGACTCCCCTTAGTCTTATCTAATCCAACCCCTTGCTAAATATCAAACCTGGCAAATTTACAAGTAACTCAGAATATTTACTATTCCCAGCAACGAATCCCGCAAAATAGCAACCTAATTAACAAACAAACAAAAAACCAACCACCCCAGTTGCTTCCATAATAGAAATACAACCCCCCCCCCCCGATCTTACTGATTTGTTGAGAATCCATTGAAGTAAATGAAGAAGGCAACACTTGCTGAAGCTTCATGTATAAAAAGTACACATGGTGCTCTGGACTGGAGCATTTCTGTTAAATATCTCAGAAGAACAATGCAGGGGGTTGAGGTCATAGAATCATAGAATCATAGAATCATAGAGTTGGAAGAGACCACAAGGGCCATCGAGTCCAACACCCTGCCAAGCAGGAAACACCATCAGAGCACTCCTGACATATGGTTGTCAAGCCTCTGCTTAAAGACCTCCAAAGAAGGAGACTCCACCACACTCCTTGGCAGCAGATTCCACTGTCGAACAGCTCTTACTGTCAGGAAGTTCTTCCTAATGTTTAGGTGGAATCTTCTTTCTTGTAGTTTGGATCCATTGCTCCGTGTCCGCTTCTCTGGAGCAGCAGAAAACAACCTTTCTCCCTCCTCTATGTGACATCCTTTTATATATTTGAACATGGCTATCATATCACCCCTTAACCTCCTCTTCTCCAGGCTAAACATGCCCAGCTCCCTTAGCCGTTCCTCATAAGGCATCGTTTCCAGGCCTTTGACCATTTTGGTTGCCCTCCTCTGGACACGTTCCAGTTTGTCAGTGTCCTTCTTGAACTGTGGTGCCCAGAACTGGACGCAGTACTCCAGGTGAGGTCTGACCAGAGCAGAATACAGTGGCACTATTACTTCCCTTGATCTAGATGCTATACTCCTATTGATGAGGCCCAGAATTGCATTGGCTTTTTTAGCTGCCGCGTCACACTGTTGGCTCATGTCAAGTTTGTGGTCAACCAAGACTCCTAGATCCTTTTCGCATGTACTGCTCTCAAGCCAGGTGTCCCCCATCTTGTATTTGTGCCTCTCATTTTTTTGCCCAAGTGCAATACTTTACATTTCTCCTGTTAAAATTCATCTTGTTTGTTTTGGCCCAGTTCTCTAATCTGTCAAGGTTGTTTTGAAGTGTGATCCTGTCCTCTGGGGTGTTAGCCACCCCTCCCAGTTTGGTGTCATCTGCAAATTTGATCAGGATGCCCTTGAGTCCATCATCCAAGTCGTTGATAAAGATGCCCAAGACAGAACCCTGTGGCACCCCACTAGTCACTCTTCTCCTTGGGTCCCTTCCAACTCTGCAGTTCTGTGATTCTATGATTCTTTTACAATCAGCTAGTTTATCTCATCCTGTGTTGTGCCATTGCTTTGCCCTTCTCTACTTGTTTTTCTCGTCACATGAGTTGTCTCAGACATCCCAGAACATGTGCTTGCAGTAATCTCACGTTGCCAGGGTCAGGGTAGTGACTCACCAGTCTGGCCTCGGCACTCTAAGCTACAGAAAAGCAGCCCCTTGAGGGTTTTGATTATTTGGGATGTGGAATTCCTGAGCCAGAACATGCCAAATGACTTGTCCAAGCTAGGACCATTCAGAAACAACATAGGGTCGTTGAGGTCCATTGACAATGCAAGAAAATGTCCTCCCCCCCTTGCCCTGAGGTGTGAACAGGGACTGGGGGTTTGGAAGGTTGCCAAGGTAACTAGGTGTGGGGTGACAGGAAAAGAGAATTTTAGGCAAAGTGCTCTGGGAAGGAGAAGGAAGAAGAAGGAGTGGGATCCATCTTGGGCAGGTTGGCTGAAGGCAGGCTGGGAGAGATGCCTTGGACTCCATGGCTGCACTGCTGTGGGGGACAAGCCTCTCTTGAAATGACCACGCTGTAAGATCTGGACCCCCTTCATGCAGACTGAAGGTGTAAATAGGTGAATAGACCACATTTCTTAAAGCTATGACAGTCTCTGCCATGTCTCAATTCTCCAAAGGAACACAGACCCTGAGTGAGTGCCTGGAACCCCCAGGAACCTTGCAGAGAGTGAGGGGTGGCACACAACTTTTGTAACAGTATTTTATTGCTTTTTCACAAAGTTGAAGCAAAATTTGAGTTCAAACTTGCCCCTTGATGAACCACAAACTTGGTTTCTCCCTGGATTTTAAAAGAAGAAACCCCAATAATCAGGATGGCATTCTGCAGCCTCATGGTGACATGGTTGATCGTATTTCTTAAGCGCTTTATTAGCAGATTTGTCTCCCTCTGTTATGAGTTACTGGCCACAGTCTTATCTGGATGTGATCAACAGCCCCCAGTTCTGTAACAAAATTGAGTACCACCGAGACTCCTTCAGCTTGGGGTCGCCGTATACAGTCCACTGGCAAAACCTCCATCCTATGCATCTCTTTTTCTTATTTTCAATAAACACTTTCACCTTCTGGTACCTCACGAAGGGAGGAACGCTGCCTTTAAAAACCAACAACAATTTGTCCATTTCCCTTGCTTGGTATTCCCTGAATGGAGCATTAAAGGACTGGTGATGGATTCCTCCGTAGAGGCCAAAGACCATGACAGCAGCAATCCATTCCCTTCATAGTCCCGGCCCTAGTTACGGCAAATGACTTGGCAACCAGTCGAAAGGATGATGACTACAAAGCCAGACAGTTACCACAGCCCAAACAGTATCCAGTTACACAGCTACAAAGGGGCAACAGAGAGGAGCCTCTGTGAGACATTATAGGAGGACTTCAGATGGGAGAACTCCAAGGACCCAGATGAGATCAAAGGCAACCAGCCAGGGAAAAAGAAGAGGCTTGAAAAAGCAACAGTTTTTTTCTTCCCAGGAAAAAAACCTTGAGAGAATGACTGATCCCGCTTCCCAAGGGAAAGCCATTTCCTAGCAAAAATCCACCAATGCATTTCCTACTCGTTATTTCAACATTCTTCCACTGTTTGTTATTTAAAATACGAAAGAAAACAAAGAGGCCTTCAACAACAGCAAAAAGTGTGATGTGGAGTACTGCTGCTGTTCAGTTGTTCCATCTCTCTCTCTCTCTCTCTCTCTCTCTCACACACACACACACACACACACACACACACACACCCCTTCACACGCTGTGATCACCAAGCATGCTCAGTCCTCACTGGTCGTGTGTGTGTGTGTGTGTGTGTGTGTGTGTGTGTCCCTAAAGAATTTGTGTTCTTCTGCAAATTTCAGGTTACCCTCACCCATGCCCCAGAATGTGAGGGTTATATTTCAGTTCTCAGATATCAGTCTTCATCCATGTTCTCAGAGCCTCCAAGTATCCCTCTTTTCCAGGGACAGTTCTGGATTTACAGAAGCCATCCTGGTTTCTGATTTTTGAATGCCCCACTTTCCCACAGAACATCCCTATTCCCATCGGAGAAATGTTGGAGGGCATAGGCACCAACTCCCTGGGGCCCTGGGTGGTGTCCAAGTACCCACAAAATTCCCCCTGAAGGGGCTGGGCACCCACAAATTTTGGTGCCAGGGCCATGCATGCTGCATGACACCCATGGCCCCGGGCACCCATGGTCGTGGGGCCAAGCTGGCACTCCTGTTGGAGGGAATGGAATAGGGTGCCCCTAGGGCTCCCCCACCCCACCCAGAACTCGCCAGAACTCAGTTCCGGCACCTCTCAGGTGGGCACCATTGCCATTCTAAGAGAACAGGAGAGGCATTCATGGAGAGTTCTGGCACCTCTTTTTCTATAAAAAATAGCACTGGACATCCCTATTTTTATCAGAGAAATGTTGAAGGGCATGTGTTCTCCTCACTCACTACATGTGGCTACACTTTTATATATAGTGGTACCTCGGTTCTCAAGCGACTTGGTACTCAAAACAACTTGGAACCCAAACACTGCAAACCCGGAGGTAAGTGTTCCAGTTTGCAAACCTTTTTCGGAAGCTGAACATGCTCTGGTTTGAGTGTTATGCTTCCAATTTGAGTATTACGCTTCCGATTTGAGTGCCACACTTCCGTTTTGAGTGTTACGCTGAGGTCTGTCTGTTTTTGCTATTTATATTGCGTTTTTGTTTTTCCGGCTCTTTTTGTTTTGTTTTTGTGACTGTGCGGAACCCAGTTCAGCTACTGATTGATTGATTGATTGATTGATTTTGTGACCGCAGTACATCGTTTATTGCTTTCATTTTATGGATCAATGGTCTTGTTGGATAGTAAAATACATGTTCAATTGCTGTTTCAGGGGTTGTTTTTAAAAGTCTGGAACGGATTAATCCATTTTGCATGACTTTCTATGGGAAAGCGCGCCTTGGATTTGGAACGCTTTGGTTTTAGAACGGACTTCCGGAACAGATTAAGTTTGAGAACCAATGTACCACTGTAATTTGCACTGGAAGAGGCTGCTGCTCCACTTTCAGGCATGATTTGAAGTGATGTATTAACTTCCAAACCCTTAATGGGACACCAAGGTACATCAAGGACCGCCTTCTCCCACATAATGCAGCCTATCTGTTAAAACTGGGACCCCCATCCTTTGAGGGCTTATGAGCACATTTGGCAGCAACATGCTGTGAACCACAAAGACTGCCATAGGGGCATGCCCAGTCGCAAAATAACTGCATAGCAGAGGGATGGGCAGCTGGATGCTAAACTAGATGCTAAGGATTATTATGAATTGGCAGTCTTTTTGCATGGGAACTCCCCCTTCCATAGTTAATTAAAGCTTGCACTGGTGTCTATAAGATGGCAGTAAAAAAACCCACAGAACTTGTGCTTATCGGCATTGCCATGGCACAAAAACATGGAATCCAGGCAGAGTTTGTAGCTTTTACACTGGGCTGCCAGCAAAACCAGAGGTGACCTACGATGCAATTAATGGGGATTTTTTAAAAAATTACAAAATAAAATCGCAAATTGCTGCCAAAATGTTGCGAAGTGCATTGAAGACAGGAGCGGGATTAAGAAACTGAGAGAAAAGAAATGAACATATTCTTCCTATTTCTACCATTTCTTTGTTTATTTAAGAATCACCTTTTGCGTGTAGCTCAAGGTGATTTACAGACAAACCATAAAAGCACCTAAAAATAGTTTTATTAATAACACAAACATGCCTGCACAGGAGCAAAAGCTGGTTGAAAAGCCTGCAGTCCTATGCAAACTTTGTGGTCCCTGGACCAAACGTTTTCACAAGCATAATGGGCAATTAGAATGGGTTAAAGCAGTCCTGCCATATGGAAACAAGCAAGTTCATGAGAAGAGATCCCTCTGCAGGATTCTCTTGTCTATGGCTCACTCGAGGTGCAGAATCAGCCTCCATCTCATTTATCGGGCTGCCACTCCCACCTCGAGCTTCTGAGGGTGGAGGAACTACTGAGGAGCTCCAGAAAATGAAGCGGTATCTCAGACGGCTAGAGCGAGTATGGCGACGGACTCGTGACGGAGCCTCAAGAACATCTTATAGGACGCTTATGAAAGCCTATGAGATGGCTATGAAAGCTGCTAAGAAATCTTACTTTGCAGCTTCCATTGCATCCACTAGCTCTCGCCCGGCACAACTTTTTAGAATAATTAGGTCAATAACGTCCTTAGGAGGACAACCAAATTTAAGCACAAATTCGACCCACAGCTGTGAGGCATTCGCGAGCTTTGTTGCGGAGAAAGTCCTGTTGCTCCGCCGTGACCTCCCTGCCAATTTAGATACAGTGACTGAACTGGAGGCCCCTCGACTGACTTCAGGTCCAGTGTTGGACCATTTCGATCGGATACTCCCTACTGATGTGGATAGATTCCTCCAAGTTGGTAGGCCCACCACCTGCCTCCTTGATCCGTGCCTGTCTTGGCTGATTAGGGAGTGTCCAGATGTTGCGCGGACCCCCCGGTTGAAATTATCAATTTGCCCCTTGACACGGGGACATTCCCAGGGGAACTGAAGGAAGCAGTGGTGTGTCCACTCTTAAAGAAAACTTCATTAGATCCCTTAGACCTATCCAATTACCGCCCAGTTTCAAATCTTCCATACCTGGGTAAGGTAATTGAGAGAGCGGTTGCTGAACAGCTTGGTAGGTTTCTGGAGGAAACATCGGCATTAGATCCATCTTTATGCGCCCCCTTAACATCTTTATGCGCCCCCTTGCCCAGATTATCCGGAGCTTTGGGCTGGGCTGTCACCAATATGCTGATGACACTCAGCTCTATCTGCTGATGGATGGCCACACCAACTTGGCCCCGAACACACTGACCAGATGCTTGGAAGCTGTGGCTGGATGGTTTCGTGGGAGCCGATTGAAACTAAATCCTTCGAAGACAGAGGTCCTATGGCTAGGTCGGGATGGCATGGGGATGAGGGACCAACTCCCTTCTCTTGCGGGGGCCCAATTAGTGCCATTGCCTTCCGTTAAGAGTTTGGGTGTAATCCTTGCGCCTCCTTTCCATGGAGGCGCAAGTTACAGCAACAGCCAAGGCGACATTTTTCCACCTTCGCCGCATCAAGCAGTTGGTCCCTTACCTTTCCCACCCCGACCTGGCCACAGTGATCCATGCGACGGTCATCTCCAGGCTTGACTACTGTAATTCGCTCTATGCAGGGCTGCCCTTGAAGCTGTCCCAGAAACTCCAGCGGGTACAGAATGCTGCAGCGAGGCTCCTCACGGGGTCTCTGCCATGGGAGCATATTCACCCAGTGCTTTTCCAGCTGCACTGGATCCCGGTGGAGTACAGGGTCAGATTTAAGGTGCTGGTTTTGACCTTTAAAGCCCTTCACGGCCTAGGACCCTCGTACCTACGGGACCGCCTCTCCTGGTATGCCCCACAGAGAGCCTCAAGGTCCATAAATAACAACAGCCTAGTGGTCCCAGGCTCTAAGGAAGTTAGATTGGCTTCAACCAGAGCCAGGGCCTTTTCAACTGTGGCTCCGGCCTGGTGGAACGCTCTGCCTCATGAGACCAGGGCCCTGCAAGATCTGATTTCTTTCCGCAGGGCCTGTAAGACAGAGTTGTTCTGGCTGGCCTTTGGCTTGGAGCCAATTTGATTCCCTCCCTCCCTCTCTTTCTTTTTTCTTTTCCTTCTCCTCCTGCGATGAGGCTACATTTTAATATTTTAATGTTCCATTATTTTAATGTTGTATTTTATTTTTGTTTTTAAGTTGTAATCATTCATCTTGTTTTTATTATTGCTTGTAAGCCGCTCTGAGCCCGGCCTTGGCTGGGGAGGGCGGGGTATAAATAAAAATATATTATTATTATTATTATTATTATTATTATTATTATTATTACCAAGAGAGCCCCCTCTGCCAATCTCAGCACCCGACAGGGTCAGCAAAGGAGGAGATGATTTTCATATATTTAGGGATTTAACCTCTAATATGAGCACTTTGAACGGGGCCTGAAAATGAACCAGGAGCGGGTTATTTGAGATCCAGTAACCTGCATTTTGGACCAAGTTTCCAAATCAGAATGCACCCAAAGAATGTGCGTGCGTGCGTGCGCGCGCGCACACACACACACACGAAACCATCAACAGGAGGGCTCAGCCACAGCTATGGCAATCTTTCTTTAAAGAAAAACCTTTGTAATTAAGTGTGTGCATGGGATTTTTTTAAATCTCATGTGGATTTTCATTTAAGCTACAAACCAAGTCTGTGTGATCCCAGTTAAGTGGGTCTTACCACAAACCGGCAAGGTGCTATTAGTACACAATGCACGCTCTTCACTCTTTTGCTTGAACTGGTAGGCAGTCTTGAAAGGAAAATGGACCTTACCTAAAAGAGTACACCCTCAGTTGCCTTACTATGCTTAAAGTCATTCATTTACCCGTGTCATTTTCTTACTCCAATGTGTGTCGGCAGCCCCTCCGGTCCCTCCCATCCCTTGGTGGGCTTCTGAATTCCTCGGGTAATGCACATATTAGATTCTTCTCCGCTAACAAATGACAGAAGAGTTCAATCTTTTAATCACACTATTGGCATATTTTAAAGGACAAGAGCTAATGCATGCAAGATTGGGTCTAAAGTTTTCACTGGGAAAGAAATGTGGCAATGATTTGCCTTTTTGAGAACAGAAAGAAAGAGTGAGTGCCAAAAGCCAGACGGAAGGGAACGGACATCTTTTAAAACCCTGGCCCTGCTTTTAATTTCAAATAATCAATGAAACCTCCCTGTGTTATCTGGGCTGCTCTAGCTTCTCAGACGTTCCAGCAGTCC